ATTCAGCACAGCAGAGACTAATGGGATGGGGTTATCTAATTAGGATTTGTATCTAAACTTTCTAGAAGTTTTGCACCTCCTTCTGTCTTGTTGCTTAGTCTTGTAGAACTTCATGCTACAGGTGGATGTAAGTGACATAAATGTTCTTTCTAATGTTCCTTGCTATTGCTGTCTAGCTATTATGCACTGTGTAAGAGAGGAGAACAACACTGGGGTTTTCATATGTATACCCCCAGTTAATTTCTGCTTTGAGATCCTTTTCTTCAAATATAAGTACCATTTGTACTGGGATATTACCTTCTGTAGAGTTCACAAATCACATACAATTGGATGCTATGAAAATGTGAGAAAATAGATGTGTGGCTTTGTGACAAAGACAAATTTCCCGCTCTTTCTTTGACATCAGAACAAAAAAATCTTTCAAAATTTTCAGCTACCTCAAGGTATCCAATTTTTGTTTGACCTGAGCTGAACTGAGGAACTTAATGGTTCAGTTTTTCACTGTGTTGCCTTTAGTCTCAGGACACCAAAACATATGCTCCTGTAGCTTCCAAACTCGTTATTTAGACAACAGCTGGCACTGCAGCAACTCTGTGCGCTGGTGTGAGCGTGGCTGGGTTTTGTCTTCCAGCAGTTAAGCAGAGCTGGCTTTCTGTGGTCAGCTCATCTGTGTTTTCAAGGCTAGGATCTTGTAATGGATAGCTCTTACGTGAAAGCAATATCCCAGCTAAATAGTAGGCTCCATCTTCAGGGGCTTAAATTTTGATGAGTTTCCAGATGCTTAAAGCGAGGTGATGTTTTCACAGGAGAATGTTTTATTTCTCTGGAGCAAAGACGTAAAGATAGCTTTCTCCTGATCAGAGAGGAACCTGCCATCATCCCAAACCTGAGCAAGGTGCCTGACAAAGCATTTGTGGCAGGATGGTGGGGACAGTGGCAAGGGACTGTCTGCTTGAAGGATGGGAAGGTGCGGGGTGAAAGGAGGACTTGGAGGGAGTGAATTGAAACAGACAGATCTATCCGAAGGTTTCTACTTAAAAGCTTAACATGGAGGGTCAGGACCTGTGCATATCTTCAAGTTACCTGGAAAAAGCAGTATGTTACCTTGTGTTAATTGGCAGTGGCCCAAGCTTTGAATTGGAAGTGAGACTGATCCAGCTATGTACCAGAGCATGATAAAGCTGCCTAAGAGCTCAAATCTCATTTAGAGATTGCCTTCATTTTCTTCCCAAAATGTCATATTGCTCAATTGTTACTTTTTTTCCCAGGTGCAGGAGACTATAAAACAAACGAGATGTCTTTTCAGTAATGTGAACAGTGATTTTTTTTTTCTCCCAGGATTATACTGCAGAGGGAAAACATTGGAGTTGAAAAGAATTTTTAGTAGGAGTACATGAGTCTGTCACAAATAGGATGAAGGAAAATAAAACAAAATGGACTTATAAGCCATAAAAACACTGTCAGGTTTTTAAAATGCTAGTACTCTGTGTTGGCTTTAAAGCTGTGCTGGCTTTTTCTTAGTCCTTGCTCTGTCTGGCACTCTGCATTTCTCACAATGTCTTAAGCAGGAGTGAGTGCTGGTGCTTAGCTTCACAGCCCTGCAAGAGCTTTGGGTGTCCTTGTTTCTTCATGGTTGCTCTCCATTGGTAGATGAAGCATGGTTGGCTGCTGGGTGCAGCCGGTGGCTCCAAAGCACCCTGAGACCTTGCGGTGGGAGCTGGAGCTGATCGGGTCCATTAGTGCCATGGCCAATTGTTAGGTATTACATAGGAAATATAAAGAGAGATGCAGAGAGTTACAGTACTGCACAGCTCACCAGAATGGTAGATCCATATCTGACACTGGATGCATTAGTCACTGTGTTCTGTCCTTACACTGAGCCCTGGGATCAGCCCTTAGCCAAGCTGCTATAGCTCTGCTGTGTTACCTACCACAAGTAGCACGTGAAGCTGTTAACAAGGCTTTCCCTTTCCTCACACAGCAGCAGAAGCCCTGCTTTCTGTCCCTGCACAGCCCTGTAACTGTACCACTTACTGCTGCTATGGGCCCAGCTGCTGTTGGGTTTGGTGCAGCCAACGTAGAGGCGGAGACAGGGATTTTCTCTGGGTTCCGTTCACTTTAGTGAGCAACTTTCTTCCCTTTATTTTATAATCTGACCTCTGCTTTCCCTGCATATTTTTACTTGGAAGCTCTCAATTCACCGTGCTGGTGACAGCTGAAGTGCTTAGCAACATATGGAAATTAAGAACAATCCTGAATTGCAACATTTTCTACCTTGCAGTCCCCTAAGGCTGCTGGAAGCCACATAGCTCATTGCTTGAGCTGAGAGCAGGTAGTGTGTGCAGGAATTCAAACTGCTAATCAAAAGCGATTGGTATAGACAAGGATGGATTAAAACTGGTTTAATAAATAACATTATGTTGTCCTCCTTAGCAGAGCAACAGTGATCACATTAATCTTTTGGGGCCGGGGGGGCAGCACCATCCATTAGAAGTACAACTTCGTTTTTTTGTTTTGTTGTTTTTTTCCAACCTAAACAGAAAACTAAATGCTTCTAAGCCAAGTTGATGCTAACACAGATTCCACTGAGCAGATGCACTAGTTTGCAGTAGTGATATATTTCAGAGCTTATAAGATGTACTATCTCCTGAAAATTCTCTTGCTGCTTTCCAGATTGTCAGTAGGTTTATGTCATATCCGTTCCTGTTAAACGGGTGCCTGGAGAAAATGCTTTTTCATTTTATTGCACATTTCAATTTCAGAAGCTATCTGGAATTTACCGTCTTGGTGTGTGTTTTATTAATGCATTATATAGCCCCACACTAAGCCTGCCTGCTTTTGGGTTGTGTAGGTTCATGCTGTTTTTTATCTGGGGTAAGTTCTCCTGAACGTGCCACTTCATAACAAAGCGGGAGGCTAATCACACCCTCATTAGCTTAAAAGAGAACTACAGATAGACTTCTTCTTTCCTGCACTGGCTGGAGATTTAGCTTAGCTTAAAGGAAACTGAGCTGATGCTAATGAGAATACATTGTCTTAATTTGCATATTAGATGAGATAAATATTGAGCTAATTTACACCTAAGATGGTTTTTATTGCAATCTACATGTTCCAAGCTTGTATTCAGTATATTTTGCACACCAACTGTGTGTAGTTTGGAGGCATAATGTGAAAATATATTATTTTGATGCGGAAAACAACGTGGAGATGGTTCCTTTTATCTCAATTGGTTTGCATTTGTATTTGAAAATCTGAATTATTATTAGTTATTTTTCCTTTTTCCCTCTCAGTCTGCCGCTGGGTACATATGAAAACATTTGTGGGAGCTAAGCAAGTGCGTGCCAGCACCCACTGTGTGGGTTGGGCTGCAGGTCTTCCATCTTCATTACGTGCATGAAGGCTACTGAGATATCTGCTCACCTTTGCTACCAGGAATACTAGAAAGTTCAGAGGTTGTGTGGTGCACTGTGTTTTTCTGTTTTATGGAAAGGGTTGCAGGAGCAAAATGTGGACATGGAAAAAAAACAACAACCATAAATTTAATTGTTGAACCCTGTACCCTTGAAATATAATTCAGAGGAATGCTCAACATCTGAACCACCAAAACTGTGCATTGTTGGTTGCAATTTGTGACTGGTGATAGCAGATATACTTACATTATTTGAATTAATGTAGACAAAGATAGCTTGAAAGAACCTAGAGAGTTTACAAAATGAACAAAAGGAGCTTTGGATGCTTTATAATTTCTGCTTCCTGTTTTCTTTCTCCAGCTGTTTCTCCTCATTATAGATGGAAGAAGCATCTTATTTCATAGTCTCATTATCTGATTATCTTTTGATTATAATCCTTTCTGTGGGGGGAAGAGCAGTAAGTTTTTGTTTAGCATAGAGAGCATTATTCTAACTTTGCATTGCAGTGCACTACCTGTGTTTACACACATGAATTGAGAAACTGCTTTTTGTGAAACCATTAAAATTTTCTGGTGTTTCTCGACGAACTGGGCCTTCTGTTACCCTGACTTTTTCTCTTGCACTCTGCATTAAATGTCTGAAATGCCAGTTGTGTTGTCAAAAGTCTATCGTTTCAAAAAACTGCTGTGTTTTGAAGTGTAGCAATAATGGGCTTTGCTTTCTTTTCCACATTTTACAGCAGCAATTCAATCTACTGTGAGAAATAGTCTTAACACTAATTTCTGATTTGAATAGTAATAAATACTTGCATCACTTTTTAAAAAAAAATTGTAACTGATACTCATTGTATTTCTTGCATGTAGTTGGTGAAGCCCCAAACTGATCATTGCAAGTGCTGGGCAGGAACAACGCTGGGATTACATCTGCTCCTGCTTCTTAGGCCTCAACAGCAGCATCGCAGTTGTGTTCATGTGTGTCTGGAGATGTGCTGTAACTGGGTGCTGTGCTGAAGCACTGCCGTGCAACTGCGTGTTCCTCCTTGTGGGTTTGTGCAGCTGTCAAAGCACAGTATTTTGAACTTCTTGCTGCTGAACTGTGTGGCAGCCTTTCACACCGTTTCTCTTTATTTTTGGGGGAGGTAGTACCGTGTGGGCTTGTGCCTTTTCAGGTCTTGTCGTCAAGTGTGTGGACATGAACCAAACTGTTACTGCTTTGAGACATCCTGAGGGCTGCTTGTTCATTTGGGAACAGCATTTCTACATCCTGTAACATTCACCAATCAGTTTAAAAATAGATAAAACCAATACGTAATTTGGACAAGGTAATTGATAAACTAGCACATTATGGACTAATTTGAACTTTTGTCTTATTTCAAGCAGCTTATCCTGAGAAGACTGATTATTGTTATACTAGCACTTAATACTGATACGTATTGTTAGCACTGTGTTAGGGCTGGTTTTGTAATCCCATGGTTAAATTAATGTCAGATTTTTTAGCCTACATGAAGATAGAACTTGGTAATTTTTATCTCAAACACAATAAAAGTTAAGCACGTGGGTCTGATTAATGTTATGTCCATCTCATTTACAGGTATTTTTTTCTGAGAGCTGATGTAACCATTCCAGAACCTTGCACGAGACAATGAGGTAAATCCGTATGTTTCTATAGCGTATGAAGAAACTGAAAATTTGAAGGTGAAGTACCAATCAAGAGAGGATGGGCAGTTTCAGTCTTTGTTTCACAGAGCCTCTCTCTCACTCTCTCTCTCTTTTTTTTTTTTTTTAATAGTCTCTGACAAAGAAAACAGTTATGCATAAACATCTACTTACTGGGCTTTGGGAGGGATGTTTCAGAACTATAGTGCAAACATTGTGGAACAGATGTAACATTCCTCCAAGTCAGGTGTAAGAACACATCTACTGTCGCATTGTCTACAGAGACTTTTCTGCCCTTGGTCTTATCTCCAAGTATGATTTTCCAGCCTTGGTCTGCTGGACTGAAATAGTTTGTATGTCTCCATAGTTTTCTTAAATGAGAGAAAAGGAGAAGATGCTTTGTACTTCTCCCTATAACGATCATGTGGACAGATAAAAATTAATCTGTCTGAATTCCATAACAGCACAAGTTGTCACTGTATACTTCTGCAAATATAATTCAATAGAATGCTTACATACAAAAAAAAAAAATCTTTAAAAATAAATACATCTGCATTTGGGATAATTCAGAGGATAGTATGCAAACTAAATCAGGTGTAAAGGCTATAACAGGCATCATAAAAGATTCAGAATGGTATTGAATTCTTCTGGATGAAAAGAAAACCAACATAAATCACTAGGCTTCAATTAATATTGTGTCAGGTTTGTTTCTGGATTTTTTTCCTACTTAATAATTTTCACTGAAAAAAAAACCATCAAGTTAAAAAGGGACATGGGGAATTTTTCCAGGCTACATCACAGATGTCACAGAATATCAGAGACAGCTGAGAGTGATGATAGAAAGTGTGGTAATAGCTTTATGCTGCTTTTATGTAACTCCCTGTTCCCTAATGCACTTTTTGTTCTAGAACGAAAGTGCTCAATGCTTTAAAATTATATTTGCATCCCTTCATTAATGATGTATTACTTTGGCGATTAGTAACGTAAAGACTTGAAAAATAAGTGTATGTATATATAAACACATATATAATGATATTAGAATTTTTTGAAGCAATTCAGATGTATTTGTAAAAGCAGTGGTTGGAGTTTCCTTTGCCAGAATGTGAACTCCTGGAGTTTCCTTTTGCTCCATCACAGCCAATGAAAGAACAGTAATTCCAAGTTTATGTTTTATGGAACTTTGATATGATCAATGAAATCTCTGAAATTTGCCAGAGCACTCTCTTAAAAATCTACTCTGATTCTAACTGGAAATCAAATCAATTGATGAGATAGATAAAATAAGTTATTTTAGATAAGGACAAGCAATCTGGATGCTTCTGGATTTCCACACTGAAGGCTGCATCTGTAGCATCAGCAAATGATGTAGGCCTCTGAAATCTTTAAAATTAAAAAGGAACAGCCTTTAAATTTGATAACAATCTCTCTGTAGAGATGAGAGTCAGAAATTGATTGCAGAAAGTGAAGCAGCAAAGCTTAGAGCCTGTGAAACGTAGTGGTCATTGGGCAAGCTCATTTTAAAGACTTGTATTAAAATTTAAAGAAATTAAATGATCGTGTATTAATTATCCACATAAATTGAAAATATGAGCCAAGAACATGGAAAAGGGCAATAGAATACTGATTACTTTTTCTCTCTGTCTAAAAAAGCAAAGCTTTAAAAATGTTTTGTAGTTTTTCATTTAAAAATTAATTCCTGAAAGATTAAAGAATGTCTCAATGATGAAGACCAAAATGTTTCCACATAATTCTCTGTAAGCTGCTGAGCTTGGCCTTGTAAAGAAGGACTGGATCTAGGCATTTAGCAAGCAGATATATAACATCTTAGTTTGTTGCCTATTTCTTGTGAGGGTTAGTAATTGCAGTATTTACACTGAATTTTTAATTAAGGTGTCTTTGATTCTCTAGATTTCCATTTAATTAAGAGTCAATATCTCTATGCCTCACGAACCATGCCTATTATAGAATAGTTCTTATGCTTTGTTATTGCTCTCTTGAAACCTAATATTTTTAGTTTTGATTCTTTCTATATAAATGTCTCAGTGCCTGAAGCAGCAGATGGGGAGGGAAGTGGCACAGTAATCTGTCTCAAAGTTTTTGCATTGCTATGTCTCTTTCCCATTTAAAAAATTCTGAGATAAGAAGACCCCCCTCAGCCATGAGCAGTATAAGAAAAGTCTGTCCTTCTTTATGAACCTCTCAACTTTAAATGAGAGATAACATTTAAGGAAACACAAGGTAAACAAATATGTGTATCCCTCTTTCAGATACACATTTTAACGGAGAATATCATAGCAGGTGTAGCTTTTTGATTCTAGAAAGGTGTTTATAAGACATTTCTTTATCGCTATAAATAACTGAATCCTGAAATGTATTTTCTCCCAGCTGCAATCAGGTATGGATTTACTTTGGCAAGAGGCAGGCAAAGAAGAAAGCAAAGCAAAGCAAACTGAGTTTTCTGGGTTTTCAGAAGAGAGGCTAATAGACAGTATGGGAGAGGAAAGTAAGGGATTCAGCAGTGATGTGTATGAAGATAAGGATATTGCCATATGTGATATAAAATAAGCTGGGGAATTAAATATGCCATATTAGAGAGATTGGCCAACTATATGTTGTTAAAGAGCAAACACCGAAGAAACTGTAATTAGTGGAAAACTGGAGATAAAGCAGAGTGGTATAAAAAGCAATAAAACACAATCTAGGCTAGACATCTGATCTCTTAGTTAAGGTTCCTGTTTTGTAGATATAAAATTTGGATCCAGCTCATTTGGTATGCAGCAAAAGTTGAACTTAAGCTAATGAATTGGGAAATTGAGAAGAGATAGCTGAGGGTGTGAGCCAGGGAGAACTGACTGCATCAAGGGAGTGCAGTTGCAGAGCTCTTGGAAGAAAGGTTTGGGCATCAAATCCGTACCTTCTTCAATGGCATCGATACAAAGAGGGGAATCATAAAATCATTAAAGTTGGGAAGACCACTAAGATCCTGCAGTCCAACCATCAACCCATCCCCACTGTGCCCACTAAACGACGTCCCTCAGTGTCACATCTCCACATTTCTTGAACACCTCTAGGGATGGTGACTCTACCACCTCCCTGGGCAGCCTGTACCAATGCCTGACCACCAAGAATTTTTTCCTAATATCTAACCTGAGAAAAAAATAAATAAATCAAGTGGCAAACAATACTAGTGGGGACAAAATAGAAGATTGAAGATGGGTTCTTACTGGTGTTCCACAGAGGATGGCTCAGCTCTTTGAGCTGGTTGCTCTACATAAACACGAATGGCTGGTCTGTGCCTCGTGGGAGCTTCCTGTGACACTAGGGCTTGAGGGTGAAATCTGAATGGATGGAGTAAGGAAAATAATTACAGTAACAAATATCAGAGCTATGCTATTAATTTAGAATTGAAGGGATGGATATTTACACTTCTAGGCAAATGTGTTGTGCCTGGTTACTTCAGTCTCTGTAAATCCAGTGGTAGAAGGCATCCTCTCCGTGCAGGTATGGCTCAGGCAGAAAGAAAACCTGAAAGGTTTCCTATGCTGTTGCCATTCTCCAGAACTTTTATCCCCACAGAGTGATCAAAGTTAATGGAGTTACCTGCCAACTAAGTACAGCTGTGAATTTAAATGGGGTCTCTGTTTGTTGGTTTTTTTTTTATTCCTATAGTGAAGGAATCGGTGTGTTTTTAAAGATTCCGGCTCCCCTAATTGGCACTGAATTTGTCACCCTGGCAGTTAACAACCTCAGAAAACAAAATCTCTGAATGATGGAATCTGTGAAATATAGTCAGAAGAGTCACTGTGCACATTGAAAGCAATTAAACATAAGTTTTATCCAAAAGCAAAATATTTCTTTTTTCTGCCAGGTTTACTAAGATTTATGAAATTTTACCTGGATTTTCATTTTTTATTATTATAAACAGTCCCAGGGTCTTGTATTGAAACTCAAAGTTTCTTGCCACAGGCCAGTTCTGGTTATAAAACATACTTGTTTTTGTGTGCTCCCAAATGCCTCTCTCCATGGCTTTTCTAATGCAGTGAAGTCGAAGAGTAGCCTAGGGATTTACTCATCATGTTTAATGTCAAGAGAAGTATTTCCTTTAGGTCTCCTGTCACTGTCAGCAACAAAGCAGCAAATAAGAAGCTCTGTATCTCCTCTCCTCTCAGTGACATCTGCAGCCGGCAAGATTCTAAACCCCTCAATTCCCAGTCATGAATGAACTATAAAAACAATGTGTCAGAAATGAAAATTGTTCCATCATAATTTTTCACAGTTCCTTTTTGACAAAAGCCAAACAAGTCTCATGAATACACATTTTCTATATCCTTATACATTATGTATCAGGCTATAGTAGGAGTGTTGGGAATTACTTGTCCCTAGTAAGGGCCTTTGAAAATGCATATTTGGTAAACAAGCCTAACCCTATGAGTTGTATGTCCTTTTTTTTTTTTAAAAAAAAAAAATGTTATATTATCAGCTGCTTTGTGAGTAAAATACTACCACTTCAACACTATACATCTAGTAAATCTTCTGATATGACAATATAGGGTAGATCACTTTAAGACCTATAATTTGATGCTACCCAAAACTATTCTGAGAAGTCTGAACAAATTCCCGGCAGAGACTTTACCACTGAATGTTGCTAAAAATGCACTAAGAGCTGGTGTTAATCCGAGTTAAATCTGGGTAGTTGTTCTACTTATCACATGCTGTGTGTTTTTTGAATGGCAGGCAACTGAACCTGGATTTAGTAGTGTTTTACTGTCTTACTGTAACATATTAGAACATTGCTTTTCAGTCTCTGTGGATAAGCTATATCGATCAGCACTCCAAAGGTGTTAGGCATTACTTGGAAAGAATTACTATTAATCTTTTGTACATACTTTGGGTTTTATCTGGATGTGAACATTAAAAGAGGTACCAACAGGGTGATGGATTTCCAAAGAGCAGGAAGGAGGCAAGCACAGGATGTGCATCGCAGCTGTTGC